AACTGAACGCGTTTCTTTACAATTTTGTTTCTTCTTGTAAATCGTCCCGGATCTCGCGATGAACATCTTTGCTGCCGAGAGATCCAATCTTGAAAAGATTCTGTATAAACCTATCAGTTCTTTTGACACGATCAGTTAAAAAGTGATTTTATTCCAATTTTTAAGGGAATAATTTAAATTTTAAAAGTTGCATCAAAAACGATCAAAATTAATTTTCGATCGTTGTATCGTTAATCAAAAATTTCTTTTGATGCGGGGAGAAGGATGAATCCCAAAATCCTCTTCCTGCTTGCACAAAACAGTTCGAAATCCACACAAAATCGCTACCTACCTTACACCTCGTAAATTTTCCTACATATATATATATATTCCTCGTAATAATTCAAAGCCTATCAAAAATAGATTTTCCCTCTCCCTCGCATAATCCTCTTCCAAGTTGCTCTTTCCCGTGGAATTAGCCTCTATGTATATACACAAACTCGTAAGGAGAATGTTCATCGAGATACTCGTGAAATATTCCAGGATATAAGTATATGGTAGCGAGATAATGGCCTCGTTACCGCGACAAATACGGATAATTAATTATCACGACTGTTGACTCGAACATCATTCGAAAAGGATGGCAGGTTCGTTATCCGAGGACACGTTCGACGATATATTTCAAGAATGGAATAATTTTTTTCTTTTTTTCCCCCGCTTTGAAAAAAAGAAGAAGATGCTTGGATCGATCGACGAGGAGGAGGAGGATCTCGTTCGTACAAGGGTAATAAGTACCGTTGGTGGGAATTTGTAATCTCTGAACACGATCGTTGGTCGGAAACAAATTACGAATGGAATCGTGAATGTCGAAAAGGTCAGCTCTTTAGCCGATCGGACACGAGAGAAGCGGGCGTAATTGCTTCGTAATCCGCGGGCACAATCGAACATCGAATCGGGGCGAGAGTCGGTTGGCGTGAAATTGCTCGCATTGCAAGCATTACGCGGTTCGTTCCTAGACAAGGTTCCATCCGGCTTTTTGCCTGTCTCGATCGATGCCGCGAACCATCGTCGATAAGATTAACCGCGAAACTTTTTCAACCTTCGAAAATCTTTCGAAATTAATAGAACGATTTGCCACCGAGGGGGAGGGGCGATCGATCGTTTCACCCTTCCGCGATTTATCCCTCCAGCTGAGTTGTTCGTGACTTGGCGAGGCGAAACTCGGCTTCGTTCCGCGAAATAAAAAAGGGAGAACGACGTTGGAACGATTTAACCGGTCGACGCGCTAGTTTCGTTTTGCGGCTTGGCCTCAAAAATTTCATTTCTTTTTCTTTTTAATTCTTTCCCTTCTTTCCTTGTTACAGGGAAATTAAAGGAGAAAGGAGGTCGATTCGTGTTTAACAATCTCGCGTTTTACAATTATTATTAGTAATAATTGGATATTGTTATTTGAGTTTTTTTTTATTCTAATCTCGAATGTTTGAACTTTTGCATTGTATTTCTCATTATTATCGAATTATAAATTTTTCTATACGACACAGGAAAAAATAATTACACCGATAAATCCACGAAAGTAATAGGAAAAACACGAAGTTAGAACATTCTGATGCGATCGTACAACGGTGATTTCCCCGCAATATCGATGCTTCCGTTTTCCTAATTTAATTCCCATAAAATTGCGTTCAACGTAATTGAAAACGCTTATACGTATATATATATGATATTATAGACGTGATTTGCCAGCGCATCAATGCGAATCTGACAACGCCGACAATAACCGACATTTGCGTCAATGAACGTTAAAGAACGTTGTCGTTTATCGTTACGAGCCGAGCCTCGAGCGAAATACGAAACAGCGGAATGAAACGGATAGTAACAAGAGAGAAGCGTAACTAACGACAGAGATGACTCGTTATGCTTGGCCCACAAACTTGATTAATACGCGCAGTCGAATGATTCTGGCAACGACCTATCACGCGCCACCTGACCGGTTTAGCTTTCCATGGAAAACCAGATGAGAGATTAATAATTGGACGATTCTGAAGCCAATCAGCGCGAGCCAGCGAGACGGAAAACCGTAATGCGGGTGTGCATCGAAAGCGGCTTTTGAAAGGGGACAGGATGAAGGGAGAGAAACAGCTCGGCTCCTCTCTACTAATAACGATAGAGGATTTTATCGCGCGCGATGCTCGCGACAACGTATTGATTTACTCGCTCGTGAACAAGTCTCGTAAATTTTTCGATTCGTACGCCGCCTCGAAAACACCTCGCTCGTTTAACTTTTCCAGCTTCGAGATCTTTCCCCCACAGAATCGCCGAACTTTCTGTATGCTTCTGTTTGTCACCGTCGCGACGGTATTTACTACTAATCTGGATAGTTTTCGAAAATCTTATAATCTTATTTGCCGTTAAATTTATAAATAATTTCGTTCGTATTAAGAAGAAATTCAAATTAATCCGATTCGATTAATTTCTCGCGAAAAATTTATCACGGATTTGTATTTGATAAATAGATTAAAAGATACGGGCAATTGAATTTCGTTCGTTGCCAATGTCACGTTTATAAATACGTCCAATTACAAAAAACTCGATTTACAAAAATCACCACGGAAAAACGTATCTACCGATGTAATGTATGTTAGAGAGAAATAGATTTAAAAAATATATTCACTGTCCAAACGATTGAATTTCGACGCGATTAATTCGTTCTACCCAATTTCATGTGGCAATATATATTTACCATCTCTCTAAATCTATAATATATAATTAAATTTATAATTACGAAGAAATAAAAAATTACAAATTCTCTGCAAAAAAAAAAAATATACTTCCAAATAAATTTGAAAGAGAAAGATGAAGAGAGAGGGAAAAAATACATAAAAAAATATTAACCTACCAAAGCACTTATACCGTTCATTTCGACATCATTAATTCATTTTACGCGATTTTCATCGGAATATATTTACCATCCCTTCCCCTCCCTTCGTTCGCGATAGAAATCCGACTCGCAGTCGAGTGGGGCGTGAAGTGGGGGGAGCCTCGAATTTATCCTTTCGCCCGACCTGTTGCGAAACTCTTTAACTTTTACCCGTAACCGCCATCCCTGATCGACGATTGCTTCGCTCCTCTCTCCACCTCCCTCCATCCCCGCCATCTTCGCCCATCCACCCGCTGATCGGAGATTCCACGGCCATAGTTACGACGACGATGAATTTTAGATTTTATTTCACCCTCCCTTCTCCCCCCTCCCTCCCTCGATCGATCCACCAGCCCGAATATTCCGCTAAAATATTCCCTCGAAGTATTCTCGATATCCCGCGATATTAATTCATAAGCCGTTCGCGCGGGATAACTAGCCGGAACTCGAGGAAATTCCGCTTTATCTCTGCCACTCGTTGAAAATAAGTCGAGCAGTTCGGGGCCTGGGGGAATGCATAATTCCCGGCAAGCTACGTTGTAACTTGGGGCAAGGTCTTTGTCTCGGCCGTGAATCACAACGACCGGTTATAAATTATTTTCCAAGTCCGCCGTTCCCCTTATCGACCCCTTGCTCTAACCAACTTGCGCCCGTTTGTTCGCGCCCCTGAATCGCATTTGGGGACAGTTTCAATATCACCCCCGCGCGGGGTGCGAAATCGGTGCCGAGTGTGCGGATGGATTGCGTATATCGGATTGCGTATACACGTTGGTAAGGTAACGTTCATTTTCGCGGTCGTAAAATAGCAGCGGTGAATCCGTACGATGGCGGTTTGTTAATTTTGCAAAGTTATTTTCGCGTAACGGTGGGCGCGCGCGCGCAAAAAGCGCGCTTTATTAATCATTCCCATCTCGGTGAAAAATTGAATTTTTAACGGCGCAATCCAACGAGAACGATGCGAGCTCGCGTAAAACTTTCAACGTCGGCCCACGTTGAAAACGAAAACGTGAAATGGACGGGAACGAGAGGGTGGACATTAGGCGGGTTCGACAAAAATTTCCCACGCGGGATTAGCCCGTGGAAAATGTATGAATAACAAAACGACAAAGCGACGTTTTTCCCTCCCCCCTCCCTCTTTTTTTGACCGTTTCTTCTTCTCTCGAGACTTGGCCGGAAGAGAGATTCGTCTCGATAATCTAATCGTTTAACCATGTTCCCATGTTGTTGTTCATCGAGATCGGGATCGAGCTCCAACAAATAACGCGGATCGAACCAATAATACGCAATTCTGTTAATCAAAGAAAGCTTGGCTGTCGTGTAAATTAAGGACGGGGAGCCTCGTTTGCAACGGGGGAACGCGATTATCTACCCCGTTGATAGAATTTATCGGGGTAGCTGAGAGATGAAAATCGAGGGGTCCGTAGCCGGATCGAGCGGGTTAAACGAATTTATCGAAGTTGCGAATTAAATAACAACTTTAACGAGCACCTGCCTGCTTTAATACCCGGATAAACCGACGCTTATACGTTTCTCTCTGTTATTTTCCCCATCGGCTCGAAACAAAACTTTTCTCTCCGCTCGTCCACCCCCTCGTCCTTCCCTGATACGAGAATTTCTTTCATAACGCGCTATTCAACTATAGTTATGGAAGCACCGATTCAGATTCAACTAGTTATTGGTCCTCCATGCGTTGTTCGGTTTATTAATCGTGCTATTTTTATTTCTTTTCTCGTTGTTTTCCTTTGTTCAATTTCTTCGCAAAGGAAGAATTTTAATTCATTGACTATATGGTTTCTTCTACGAAAGAAAGTTTATTTTCTTCTTCTTCTCTTTTTGATCCATTAATATTAATTCCATTTTTCTCACGATGAAAAAAATTTTCCACTATAATACTCTTCTCCACGCGAAACTAAGTTTAATTCAATTGTTATATTTCTCTTATTCTTCTCGAAGAAATTTTAATTCGTTAACTGCGCTCCATTTTTTCGTTATTTCTCTTCTTGCAAGAAATTTTGGACGTCGTTAAAAGAAATTTCGCCAAAGAGAAGCACTCGCGTCGAAGCGTTAACGACCGTTATTTTTTCTTTCTTTTGTGTGTTCGCAGTGTGCCGTGGTATTCAGCAATTCGAGGAGACACCCCAATACACCGAGGTGAATCCCGGACAAGACGCGAAGTTGATATGCCGCGTGCTCGGGAAGAGGGGGCAGTGTATCTGGCAGAAGGATCAGAAGGTAAGTTGCACGTTAAAATGATTTATCTACGGGTCCTGGTGAATATATATATACGCACCGATCGATGAGGTGTCTATCCATCCAACCCGGTTGCCCGGGGTTTCAATCCCATAGCCGCTGGATTTGATTTCCACCGAATTCACTTTTGAAATAAAATGGACCGTTCTAAACTGTACGTATGACTGCTGTCTTTCGTTCTTTCACTTCCGGGTTTCGAAACGAGCGTGGAGAAAACGCGAAAAGAAAAAGGAATGAGCGAAGTGAAGAGGAAGAGAGGGGAGAGGGAATAAAACGAGAAAAGGATAAAAACATGGGGAGAGTAATCGATCGAAAAGGGATAATTTAAAAAAATAGAAGATCGTTAAAAGAAGATCATTATCGTAAAAGGAAAACGGATAAACGAAGGAAATTTCCATTCCCTATAATTCTAACAATAAGCGGAAAGTATACGTGTACGCGGTAGAGAAGTACGGGTAGAATTTGAAAAATCACGTACCTCTGTTATCTCTGACCGAGAGTGTAGCCGAGAGATGGAGGAGAAAGGAGCACCCAGCTTCGTCTTGGCTCGTCTATCGCGATTCCGGCTAGTTCATTGTTACAGGGACTGTAACCTTCTGGCAGCCAACTTTTCTCCGTTTGCCTCGGTGCCAGTAAACTTCGACCGAGATAAGTTTCTGACCGAAAGTGGACGTTACGTGTCTGCCGACAATAAATACTTGTTCGTCGTTGACTGGTCGAATGCTCGAACTTAAGTGAAATATTACGACGCAACGCGTCGCCCGAGTGTATTTATTGATCTAGCGGCGTATAGATGAAACTGTAAACAGAGAACAGGGAATAAACCTCGAGGAAACCTCGAGTTTTGCGTCCTCTCGATAAACACGGAAGGGAAGGAACGTTAGATCGATAACGACTCGTTCGACCGGACGCCAACGAATTTCGAATCTATGAATTTGTAACTACGGAATACGATGGAAAAATGGTGAAAAAATAAACGCGACAATATGGTCGAGTGCATTATCGAAGCGTGGATTATTGGTTTGCGATATTGGCCGGTATAGTATTTCATGAATATTATCTTTTAAATTAACAAATACACAGGAGACGGAAGTAACGAATCGCGATCGGGAATCGTGTAAATCAATTTCGATCGGGCCTCCAACCCGTCCCCCGTCCTGATAAAAAATTGAAAATCAGGACGAAAATGTTATTTTCATTATGCACCATTGGCAACCCTCGTAATGGGCCATAAAAATTTCCAGCGGTTGAATTTCGCGTGTGATAACCCTGTATCGATACGCCCATTTCGATATGAATATTCAACGCATGCAAACTACGATCAAACATACTCGTACCGAGATAAACGCCCATGCCACAAATTACGGATCGTCAAATGGTTTTGCGGCCTTTCGGTTTTTTTTTTCCCCAAATTCGTTTATTTTTCGTACAAACTTCTTACATCTCGCGTGGAATATCGGGTATATAAATTACGCAACAGCAATTTTATTCTAGATCCTTCGTTTTAACTTTTCAACTTTTCAAATTAATTTATTTTTGCGACATCCCTCTTACATCCTTCTTAGAGAACGTCCCTCGTAGAATATTGGACGCGTTTCAATTCTTTATATGTCTTTCAATTTTTAAAAATTTTAATCGCTCCTCGTGAAATCTTTAAATGGTTTGACTGTTTTTTTCTCATTTCTCGAAATTTTTCTATTCTTCTGGATATTTAGATTCTTAATAGATATCTCGTAAAATATAGCGTGCGTTATCGCATAAATCGTCGAATGAATGTGTCTACGGTTAAAGAAAGTGTCTGTCGTAATGCAGGCATTCAGCGCGGGCTATCCGTTTAAAAAAATTTTTTTAATTAAATTCAAGCCATCCTTTCACCCGCGTATACATTTTTTTTTCTGCGTAAGCGCGCAAGCAAGTGCACGCTCGCGAACCACCTCATTTACTTACAATTACTTACTTAGAGTAAATCCGGGGAGAGCCGGCAGTTGTTGCCACGGAGATATTCACTAACCGCGTTCGTACTTTTTCTCGAAATCCGACGAATTTGAAAAGAATATTGCTCGCCCACGGTCGAGCAACTCATCCACGTAAATCGCACAATATTTCGATCGAATGGAAAATATGATAAATCCCAAGCGTATTAATCGTAAGAAAATATAGATTTAGATCATAAATAATTAAAATATAGATCAAATATAATTTCCCTCGAATTGTCGTCAAAATTTTTCTTGGCTAAACTTGGCTATCTTCTAGAATGCGGCTACCACACGATTCACGAGTCTTTTACTCGCTTTCCACGAGTTTCCATCACTGACTCGTACGCTTTGTTTCCGCGAAAAAGGGCAGATCGTTTGTATCTATACACGTCTAATATATATATAGGGATTCGAGGAACAGTGACGTCCGTTAGGGATACGCGAGAGAGGCGCGTAACTTTTCCTATCGACCATGCCAACCACGTATCTCGAAGGCGTGGATGTATATTTATCCGTCTGGCGCGCGATTGAAGATCAGATGGTCTGGAAGAAAGCGGAACCGTTACGAAATTCTCGACGATCGATTGAGAAGAGAAACGACGGAAGAAAGAATGACGATCGATCGAGAGTTGGTGGAAAGTTTCAGGATACGAATCGGTGAAAAAAGAGGAAAGTTTGAAAGTTGGTACGACGTTTAACAAAGGACGCAATTCCCTCGAAACAGATTTGCATCGTTCTTTGCGATGTCTTCTCCCGAAACGAACAGTTGACCAAATGCAATTTCATAAGTGGAATTATACACGTATACACTCTCTTTCTCTTTCTCTTTTTCTCTCTTCTTTTCTCTCTCTGCGGCAAATTTAGATGAGAATTCATCGTTCCACACTTCCACAAAGTGCAGCGCATTAACGCGTGAAACCACCAAGGAATGAAATTTCCTTGAAAATATTTATATAAAAAGCTGACTCGTCGATCTTTCGAGACTTTCCGTTTCTTCCTGCGAAACTTGCTCGGGAAGGAAAAAAGGGAGGAACGAGGAGGAGGACATCGTCTGACGATCCGGAGAGAAAAACGGGAACATTGTCGCGAACCCCGGTAGCGAAGAAAAGATTTCCAAGAAGACTCTGAGATATCCGACGTCGAACAATGATCGCCCGTCCAACCCGTCGGTGACACGCGGCTTCATTATCGTCGTTATCGTTAATCCCGACGAAACTTTTTATTCCATCGTGCAACCGCCTCCTAGTCGGCCCAACCCCTTCCTCTCTCTCTCTCGATCCTTCTTCTCCCCAGACTGTCCTCCATCCACTTTCTTCCCCCCCATCTACTCTCCTCTCCCGTAATCGTCTTTTCCTTGTAATTAAGTCCTCCAAGGTTCTGCGCGCGTTATAAGGACGATGAAAAGAACCTCGATGGTTGCCAACAATCGAGGATAAATGTCTTCGAATCTTCTTCAAAGCTCAACTTGTACGGGATACGGTATTTCGATGCGTTTGATTTCCCCTCCCTTCCTTCCTCTTCTTTTTTTTCTCTTTTTTTTTTTTTTTTTCATTTTTCACGATCGTCAAAGCTATCTCGACGTTACCGCAAAATTATCGAGTGGCGTCGATCCGGCCACGCTTTTTCACCCCCCTCCACGAATCCACTTAACGCTTTGACGATCGTTTCGCAATCATCGAGAACTTTGGATTTGATCGGAGAGTCGATTAACGTTTCCAGTCAACAAGCGGCGGGAGTTTTCAGTTTTCATTAAAATTTTCGAACGGAAATCAAGCGTTCGCGGAAAGTTGAAACGCAACAACGAAGAGGTAGAGAAAAAAAAAAAAAAGAAAAAAAAAGAAGGGAGGAGAGCAAAGAGTTTTCGTTACGAAATACGAATGAAATCGTTGAACGCGACGAAAGGTAACAAAGAAACGAATCCGGTCCCTCGAATTAAAATATAAATATGTTACGATAGCGAAAGCTGCGGCATTTCTCCCTTCTCGTATTGTCGACACCGGGTCAAGAGCCGCAATTTTTCTGGCGTTCGCGCCACCAAATTACGCTTTCCGGGTCACGAGGAAAATACTTGGCTTCGCGTTCTAAAATTTGGAAGAGACGCGATTTAACCGCCCTCCTAATCTTTCCTTCCTTCCGTTTCCTTTTCCTCTCTCTCTTTCTCACCCGTTTCCCGTTCAACGCGATAAATTTTTCTTCACGATGCTTGGTCCCGGAATAAACAAACGCGTTAACGTGAAAAGCTCTGCTAAAGAAAAGGAAAAAATGATTTTCACGATGTCTCTCTCTGAAGATTCTCTCTCTTTTTCTTTCTCTCTCGGAAGATTTAACGCCACGAAGATTTTATTATGGCAATTGCGAGGCTAAACGTAGCGTTCACCCTTGTTTCCTGCAAATTTCTTGCGCCACTTGCTATCCCACCTCCGCGTCCGACTCGCGTCCACCGGTTTCCGTTCCACTTCGACTTCCTTCCACTCCCTCCTCCTCCTCCTCGTCTTTTCTACCCTTCAGGCAAGTGGATGCGCGTCGTGAACGCGCGTTGCTTATGCAACACGAAAAACTTGCTTCGCTGTCGTTCATCGTGATAGAGAGGGAGAGAAAGAGGGAGAGAAGGTAACTTGATGTAGAGGGGAGATAGGGGTTGGTTGTCGTCGAGTATGCCGCGTACGTACCTCTAAATTGGAGTCGTTACAACGCCTCGACTGAAAAAAGCTGAGCAACCAAGGGGTGAAAAGCCGGCGGTGGATTGGAGCGAGAAGCGTGGCGGGTACGCGAGAGTGAGAGGAGGACGGAGAATGGTCGGAGAAACGGACGGAAAGGCGACGAAAAGTCGACGCGAGCCCTCGAGACGCGGGCGTATCTTTTGACCGAGCTTCTCAAGAAGAGAGCTTTCACGCAATTTCTTCTTGCACGCGTATTTTCAACCCGTCCCGCCATTTTATTTTCACCCTCCTTCCCTCGTCCGTGTTGATGAACGAGCACAAACGAATCCTGCGCGAATCCAGGTAT